GATGAATTTCAGGTCGAGGTCAGGTCAAGGTCAGATCAAGTGAGGTCAAATTTTGAAGTTAGTTGTTAAGGCCTAAAAAGGTGTCTATCTGATGCAGTTTTTCACGGCAAATCGAATGGTGCTGTTTTTGTTTCCGTACGAGGTCTAGAACTTCAAAAAAATTATTTTGTGTGTCGTGACATGAAATTTTGAATAACTCCCACATTTTTGAACCGATTTTTCTAAAAATTGGTATGTAGGTGCACATAGACCACTTCTCTGACATATATTCCGGTTTTTCGATACACTCAAAATTTTGGATTTATAATAATTTTCCCAAAAAGTCAGTTTTTTAAGAAAAAATTGGGCCAAAATCCAAAATTTTCAAAAAACGAGACAGCCATTTGATAGACAAAGTGGAATCATGTATAACGTTTTTGTTACGTCTTGATTGCTTCAAAAATGAAGATGTTAGCGGCGTTTGACATTTTGCCGTTTTTTGAGGCGAAAATGGCGAAGTGACGTCACTAAAACGTCATTTTCTCAAAAACATTCAAACGGATTTCGCTCAAATTTTCAGGAAACGTGTCAAATTGATATCTGATAAGGTACTGAAAGTTTGACGTCGCAGGCGTAACGCGTTTAGAAGTTATTGGCGCAAAACGGGAGGGGGCGGCAGATTCTGCCCCCTCCCCTCCCAGCGGGGCGCGGGTTAAACCTTGATTTTTGGCGATTTTTTAAACATTTACCACTTTTTGACTGAAAACGCCATGTAGTTTCATTACTAAAATCGATATATCTAAAAACGTTAAAAAAAAATCTTGAAAATTACACAGGAGACGTCAAATTGATGGGGGAGAGGGTATGCCAAGTTTCAAGTTGATAGCGTAAGCGGTTCATGAGTTATTGAAGAATAAAGGAGGGGGGTCGGATCCGACCCCCCCCCCCCCCCTAGGCGGTCGCGGGTTAAGTAAAAAAAAATCACTTTAAAGGAAATTGCCTTTTAAATCATTCTAAAAATGTTATGAATAATGACGGATACAACGCTCATCCTTGAACAATTAAAGGGACCCTCCCACCTGCAAAAAAGTTTATGAATTGGCATGAAAGTGATGTCGCTCGGTTCAGGAAGAGCGAAAACGAATATCTACCAAATTTCACCGAAAAATATTCACCAGTTTTCAAGATATTAGACTTTTACTTTTGTTTACTTTTTTTGGGATCTCCGCTGTTTCTAGCGACTTTATTTTAGAAGTGCGGCGTTTGCGGCAGATGTTGCGCGCAAATAGCATATACCACCGCGTGCTACAAAACGTTTTAGTCAAACATTTAAAAATCGTTAGATATCTGCGCTGACGTCACACATTCAGAGGGGTATTCCTAAGCATTAGCCCCTCTGAATCAAAATGCTGCAATTTTGAAATTCAATATTTCCGATTTAAGGCATTTCTCGATGTTGTGAGTGCCGAAACCGGTAATTGTGAGCCAGGGACCCCATTTTGGCTATCTCAACTCAAATCTAATGTTAAGGTGGGAGGGTCCCTTTAACAAACACAACATCCATTGATCCATTTCCCTGGCAGAAACAGGGCTGGTGAGTCGGATTCGGAGTCGGTCGGAGTCGGCAGTTTTGTCCGGAGTCGGAGTCGGAGCTGGAGTCGCTAAAATCTTACCGACTCCGACTCCGGAGTTGGAGTTAACACTGCATGACTCAAAGTCATGCCTTGCACCTGGTTGCTTGCCATAATCCTGGTTGCTTGACGATTTTTCTTTCGTTGACCTTTCAAAATAAGGTTTTGTTGAATGTATTGTATTGTATTGTATTGTATTTCTGTTGAGGAGCACTCCACAGCAGCAGTGGCTATTATGGCTCCGAGTCATCAGGGGGAGCGATGCAGTACATTCTAAGGTCAACATATAAATTGAACACATATACACACTCTGCCACGCGTCCTCACATAACGTACGTCGATGCTTGCAGACATGTCATTCAGTACAATCACGGGCAAGAAAGCGCTTCAGCGCCCGTCGGAAGCGCTGCCCGTCGAGAGCAGTCACGTCCGGTGGCAGCCGGTTATACAGTGTTGGCGCTCTGGTGCAAAAGCGTCGTCTGCCGGTCTCGGTTCTGAAGCGCGGCACGTGCAGCAGACCGTCCTGCCTGGTAGTACGGTGTCGTACTGCCGCGTTCAGACGGAGGACATTTGCCAGCGATTCAGGCTCTCCACTTCGGAACACTTTGTGTGTGAGACAGATCGTGCTTTGGTCAGCTAGCTGCTGGGCTTCCAACCAGCCCAGCTGCTCCCGCAGGTCCGCAGCGTGGTCGAATTTCCGCCTACCAAAAATGACTTTAGCGGAAAAGTTCAAAATCTTTTGAATTTTTGCTGCGTTCTTTTTTGACCCATTGCCGTAGACAGATATGCAGTAGCGAACCTGCGTAAGCACCAGGGCTGACACGAGCATAGTGATTATGCCACGGGGTACCATGTGGCGGACGTGTGAGAGACCAAGGAGAGTCCCTGTGCAGCGGCGGCTGACGGCATCCACGTGGCTGTCCCAGGTGAGGTGTTTATCGAAGAGTATTCCGAGGTTCTTGACTTGGTCAGAGGGAACGAGTGTGGTTTCACAGAATTTGACGGTAAATTTTGGAAAATCGCGGAGATTTTGACGGCTACCAAAAACAATCAGCTCTGTTTTACCCGCGTTCACCTTAAGGGCGTTAGCAGTAAACCATTGATCCAGAGAGGCCAGAGATGTCTCCAAGTTGGAGATGAGCGTTGGTAGTTCGCTCTTTTTACCTGAGACTAGCACCTGGGTGTCGTCAGCGTATTGGACCACCGTAGCACCCTCAGCGTATGGTGACATGTCATTGGCAAACACCGTGAAAAGTAACGGCCCGAGCGCCGAGCCCTGGAAAACTCCCATGGAGTTGGGCAGCGGCCGTGAGACACTGTCGGCACCCGCGGCGTTACGGAGTGAAACACTTTGTGTGTGGCCGCGGAGATACGCTTCGAACCACTCGGTGTCAACGCCGTGCAGCCGTAGCTTGTTTAAAAGTATTCGGTGGTCGACAACGTCAAAACATTTGCTGAGATCAATCAGGCACATGAGGGTGATCTCCCCACCGTCGGCGGCAGTGAGGATGTGGTCAGAGACCGTCACCAGCGCGGTCTCCGTCGAGTGGTGTGGGCGAAAGCCGTGCTGGTTGGATGACAGGAGGTGGTTTGAAGACAGGTAGTGAAAGAGCTGCCGCTGAACGACACGTTCAACGACTTTGGATATGATGGGAATGATGGATATAGGACGGAAGTTAGAAGGGTCGGAAGGGTCGCCTTTTTTGAAGATAGGATGAACAATAGAGTGTTTCCAGGATGGAGGATAGTCGGCTCGGATCAAACAGGTATTGATGATGTGTAGGATGATCTCGCCGACGGCGGGGAACGCAGCCTTCAGCACCCGTACACAAATACCGTCCGCACCGCAGGCGGACGAGTTGCGCATGCTCAGCAGTATACAGGTCAAAGTGTCGATATCGATAGGTGAGACACTAAAACCACAGGCACCGACACGTGGAAGACGACAGGGTACTGGACCACTCGCGCCTCGGCCCCGGTTCGCCGCCTCAGCGGCCACTCGCGGTCCGACGGACACGAAAAAGTGGTTCAGCTCCTCGCTGGTCAGCTGGGGCAGCACCGGTGTACCGGAGCGTTTACCGCCAACCACGCACTGCAGGCTGCGCCAGACAGATTGTGGTCCCCGCTCACTGATCCGAGCCTCTATGCTCTCGCGGGTATCACGGCGGATGGCTGAGCGGACGGCGCGGTTCAGCTCCCGGTACTCGGCCGAGCCCCTCCCGCCGAGGCGTAAGGCAGAGCGGCGGCGAGACATCAGCTCCCTGGTGTCGGCCGAGAGCGGAGGGGCGGCCGGGTTCCTCACCCGGACCGAGCGGAGCGGCGCGTAGGTAAGGTAAGGACATACCCCTGTAGGTAAGGACATACCCCTGTTTTAGGCCAGCGTTTTTATTGAAAAAAAAAAAAACTGAAGAAGTCTGCTGCGTCAAAACCTATTTTTATTTTGCATGCTATTTCAAAAGTACCTAGGTACTCATTTGCAATACAAAATCTTGGAGCGCGCAGAATTTCTTTTCAGGCAAGATAAAAAATATCCAACCTAAAATTTAATTTGATTATAGGCATGGAGTTAATGAGCAATGCCCGGAGTCGGAGCTGGAGTCGGAGATCGAGTTGGATTCGATTTTTGAAGCCGCAGTCGGAGTCGGAGTCGGAGTCACCTTAAAATCTATCGACTTCGCACTCCGCAGCCCTGGTCAGAATAGCCCTGATTGTTTATGACGATCGTTGACAATAACGTGAGCTATTCGTCTTTCCGACTATCGGTCGCCGGCCGGTGTAACTTTTTCAAACTTTCTCCACCTTAATTGCACTACTACTATGGCCTTTTTACGTGTTTATCGTCCTTACGACATACGAGAGCTCCGAATAACTACCTAGCATCGAAAAGTATTCCGTATTGATGTGAAATAAGAAAGTTCAAAGCACTGAATGAAGCACTGCGGCCGGCGCGGTATGGGCGTGAACGCTCTGTGTCGGCTGGCGGTTACCGGCGTGACGACGAATGCTCAGCGCAGCGGTGCTGCCCCCTCCACCACTCGGCGGTCAGTGACGGCGCGCTGCCGTGGCAGTAACTCCTCCCCAGTTGGGTCGTTGGCGCCGACCGTGCTGCTATCGCTGCGATAGCAGTCCTCAACGCTTTGTTCGCGGTGGGGGGTGCTTATGGCCGCGGCTGAGCGTATACTTGAACTGCAAACCGGCTCGAACACTACCAACAAGCGAGTTCCATCAGTGTGTCCGAGTAGTGAGTGGAGAGACGTGTGACTGCTGGACTACCACCCCTCCCCCCGCCGGAGTGCCGACAAGTGGTGTCCACTGTCCTGTGTGTGGTGGGGGCAAGTCGCCGGACGTGTGTCGTTTGCTGGAGAGCGCTGCGTCGTGTCCGGTCACAGCATGATAGTGCACCATGTGAAGGGGCGTCGCGTGCAACTGCTGCTGGCAGTGACGCTAGCCGCGACCGCCCTGGTGGTGCTCTGGGTATGTCTGGGCAGCCAGGAGCCGGCGGTAGCCCCCCTGCCAGAGCCGCGGCTCACCCGGGACCTGCGCACCGCCTGCCGCCTGCTGCTGCGGCCCGACCACGATCTGCCGCTGACATCCCGGGAGCGCGTGACCTGGGTGTGCGGCCGGCTGGGCGTGCTACTGCCGTGGCGGCGCCAGTTCGGCTGCGGCCGTCGGGTGACCTACGAGCCGGCCGGCAGCCTGGAGCAGGACCTGCTGCGCTACGCGGTGCTGTTCGGCCTGCAGCAGCTGCTGCGCGCTGAGTCGCTCGTAGAGCCGCGCATGCTGGAGGTGCTGCAGCCGACGTTACCCGGTCTGACGCTGCCGGTGCTGTCGCCGGGGCCGCCCCAGGAGCGGTGGCAGCCGGTGGCGTTCTGGCCTGCTCTGGACCAGGTGCGCTGCCGACCTGGCGAGGTGTCCGGCGTCTCTGAGCCGCAGCGGTACCGGCTGCGGGGACCTCCCGACGGCAGCGCGCTCAGCCTGCTCCGGCCGTTCGAGGAGAGCCTGCGCCGCGAGCTGCGGCTGAGCAGCGCGCTGCAGCGGGACGCCGACAGAGTCCTGCTGGCGGCGCTCGGCCGGCGCCCGTCTGCCACCTACATCGGCGTGCTGCTGCCACCGGACGGACGGCGCGCCGCCGTGCCGCCCCAGTACCTCCGCAACAGCCTGAGCCACTACCGACGCCGCTTCAGTGACGCACTCTTCATAGTGGTGGTGCCCAATGTGTCGGAGACCTCACTAGTCTCCACGCTGATGATTGAGAGCGACGTAACTCTGCTGCCGGCAGAGGTGGCGGCTGACCCTTCTCTCTCGCTGGCTGTGCGCGCTGCCTGTAACCACTCGGTAGTGACGGGAGACGAGGGGTTCTGGGGCGCCTTCCTGGCCGGTGGCCAGGTGACCGTGCCGCCTCCGGAGCGCTCCGACGCCGAGGGTTTCGGCTGGCTGCGGCTCACCACCCAGCTGGCCGACGACCCGCGGTGGACCGTCGTCAGATGATGCTCAACTGTCCCGCACACACAGCGCGGTGGCGACATTTTGTGATAATGAGACGGTATGCGGCTGGTGGCATTTCATTCTATTGGTGACGGACGTCCCTAACTGTCAGTGTCGTTTGAATAGCACAGGGAAATCCGACTAAAAGCTGACCGAGTCGAGTGACACGATACAAACTATCGCGCGCCGGGCTGCGCTGATAATGAATTGAAGCATGGTGTTGGTTGTTACACATTTATTTCGTATAATGGTGGGAGGTAAGCAGGTGGTTTCAGTAGATCATTCCTCCATTTGCTAAGACAGAATTGCTATATTTCGCAGCATGAATGACGATTTGATCATGCGTAGACATGTGCGTGTACACATGTATAAATTTCAAGTATGACCCGTTGTCCAATCCAAGCCCGGGGCTTTGTGGTCCGTCCAGTTGTTCTAGTGCCGTGCCTTATCACTTCCGTCTTTCGAGGTCGTTCAGCGCCGGTCGAGACGGCCACTTTTGGACGGCCGTCACTGCCGACTGAAGGTCTCTGGCGTGCTGTCGATGCCGGGCGCACACCGCCGACTAGCATTAGTGGAGCTTGTAAGTGTGGCTGTAATTGAACCGGGCCCAGGTCACCCAGGGCGTGTACCGCTGGCTTATCTACATATCGTATACCTACGCTGATCAACAGTAAATATGATAGCAGCCACAGGCCAGATAGGATATCGATAGCACGCCGAAGCCCAGAGACTGTATTTGTACACGTTTTAACGCTAAGGGCCAATACACGTGAGCATCAGAGGCCAATGCTGTTTGTTCAGCGGTCACCGGCGGCTGACCAGTCGTGTTCGGGTCTGAGGTGCGGCCGCGGGGGACCGCCCACGGCGCGCAACACCTCGCTCGCGTAGCAGCTGTCCAGCAGGCCCGCCTCGCGCAGACGGTTCTCCAGACGCAGTCGCCGGTCCGATGTCAGCTGGCTGTCCCAGAAGGAGTGGTTGGCCGCGTGCGCCGGCGGCGGCGGCGGCGCCGGTCCCTCGTGGCGCGCCCGCGTGGCCAGTGTCTCGGCCAGCAGCCGGTCCGGGTCGCGCTCCGCCTCGACACGAACCTCACAGCGCAGCGCGTCCAGCCGGCTCTGACGCTGCGCCTCCTGCTCGGCGGCCAGCTGACGGCGCTGCTGCTGCGCGCGCAGCCGCTCCTCTTGCAGTCCGCTGCGCAACTCCACTCGGCGCTGGTTGTGCGCCGCCTCTGCACGCCGCCAGTTGCGCAACGCGGCGTGTCGCTGCGCCTCCGTCTCGCGCAGCTGCTGCTCTCGCTCACGACGCCTCTCCTGGAATAGGGTGATGCGCTGGCGCTCGGCGCTGCGGCGCGCCTGCTCGCGCAGCCGCGCCGCCTCCTGCTGCTGCCTGGCGTCGGCCGCCTGCTGCTCGGCGGCCGCCACGCGGCGCCGCTCCTCGGACATGGCTCGCTCGCGCCAGGCGTTGACCTGCTGGCGCAGCTCCCTGCCGCGCCGCAGTGTCTCAGCGTGCTCCCGCTGCGCCTCCTGGCGCTGACAGTTGACCTGCAGCCAGCCGAGCACCTGTGCCTCTAGCTGGCGACCCAGCACGTCCTTCTGCAGGCGCCAGTCGTGCACAGCGGCGGCGTGCGCGGCCAGCACGGCCTCGCGGCGGCGGCGGGTGGCACGCGCCGCCGCGCGCTGCCGCTCCGTCAGTGCCGGCCGCAGACGCGCCATCAGGTCGTTGACCAGCTCCTCTCTGCCTGGCGTCTGTGGCGGGTAGGCGCGCTCCACGGCCGCCCAGCAGCTGACCGCGTCCTCGGGCTGAAACTGGACGGCGGCCAGCGCCGCGGCCAGTCGCGGCACCGTCAGGTCCGCCGGGCCGCCGCAGAAGCCGTGCCTGCTCCAGACGGCCGCCAGACGCGCCATGTAGGCGCAGTCGACCACGGCGCAGTTGTCGCTCACCTCCTGCTGTGTCTCCGTGTCGAGCAGCGTCAGCCAGCGCCAGTCAGCCGGCACGCCGGTGGGCAGCTCCAGCGCCGGGTCGCAGGCCGCCACCGCCGCCCGGTACACCTCCTGCTCGAGACGCACCTGTTCAGTGTTCAGCTCTGCCAGCACGGCCCCCTGCTCTGCGCGCACCGCAGCCAGTCCGCCGGCCTCGCCGCCGGCCAGTCGACGGTGCCAGTCGCGCAGCCTCGCCGACTCCTCGCGGCGGCGTGCGTCCCGCAGCTGGTCCTCCTCGGCGCAGAGTTCGGCTGCCAGCGGCGAGTTGAGCAGCGCCTGACGCCGCTGCTGCTCGGCCGCCTGTCGCTGCGGCAGCGCCGCGCGGATGGCCGTCACCAGACAGGCGGCGTGGCGCACGGCGAGCACGCGCTCGGTGCGCAGCCGGTCCGCCTCGGCCAGCCGCTGCGTCAGGCTGGTCGAGGCGTCCGAGGCGAGCTGGCGCTCCCGGCGCACCAGCTGGCACAGGCTGGACGTGTCGCTGGACGTCAGACTGGCGGTTGACGCGCAGAGACGGGACGAGCGCCTCCAGGACATGCTTTCTCATGGAGCAACTACAGGCGATAGATGAGACAATGGCCTGCGATGAGCGGTACCGAGCACGGACGGGTAGATTAGGTCAAGAACAGATAGACGATGCCGAGCTTTCTTACCACTGGCAGGGGTTCAACGTGCCAGTTCAGTCAGTGTCCAGAATAGGACACCCGGCCGGGTCGTGGGTTCGGCGGGGCGTCACCGGTGCAATGGTGGGGCGGCCGTTGACGCTCAGGGTCGATGCGCTTCGTCGGCCGAGCTTGATCTAAGAGCGACCGCCACAACAAGCTGGTTGCGGTCGTCTGTGGGGCGGTCGGAGTCGTCTGCAGACCGGTCACTGTAACCTCACTAATGAGCCCGCCACAGGGAGAGTCCGGCGTGTGCAGTGTGCACTGTGCAGCGCAGCTTTACAGCAACCGCTTGGTGAACAGTTGTTTGATCAATACCGGTATTACGTTTATGAGCGGACAGAGTGAGTCAGACACATTACCGACACGGGGCCTACGATCAATACACCGGCGGCACTCTTTGTAAATAAAATGGGTTTAAACAGACTGCATAGCAATCATGTTTAAAAACTGAACGAATTCAAAGAATGCAGCGTTTCTTGCCCTCTTGAGACATATGATAAGGTCGGTTACGATCAATTTCTACTTACGCTAATATTAGGCAATTGCTTTTAAGTGTCCCCAGTTTTTAAAATGATTGTACAAGTTTAAACCTCATACACCGAATGGGCCGGTAACTAACTGGGCGTATTATTGATTCGTCACTATAAAATGCCTTGTCAAGCCCTGTATTTGTCGCATTAAAATCTGTTAAAATCCTCTGAAATGGAAAAAATGAACTCAACTGCTATCACGTTAATAACTGTTTTTGACTGCTGCTGCTAAGGAAACGCCTTAACATGACAGAAAGCTTCTCTGACAAGATATCGCTGATGTTCTTGGAAGATATGTACATGCGTATTTATGTACATTCATCCTGTGTTTTGTTTGCTTTAATTTCTTTTTTGTTTAACATAGGCAGGAGTAGGACTCCTGCCCACCTCATAGGCGGCGGAACGGGGAGGGCACTGGGGCCACCGTGCCCCCTTTGACTTTGGCATTTTAACATTAGCCCTATCGGCGTTGCATGGAAAGAATGGGACCAAAAGTCGGCAGTGCCCCCTCCCCCTTAATTGAAGGTGTTCCGCCGCTACTGGCCCACCTTGTCGGGCCAGATTCGATCAACACGAGGATCGGCGGGTGGCACAATAGTCAATAACAACCACGACAGTGGCACCGCCAGTTCCTAAAAGTGACCATCCCACCTTAACATTAGTTTTGAGTTGAGATAGCCAAATTGGGGTCCCTGGCTAGTACTTATACCGGTGTGCGCACTCACAACATCGAGAAAGGCCTAAATTTGGAGCTATTTAATTTTAAAGTTGCAGCACTTTGGATTCAGAGGGGCCATTTGAATGCCCCCTCTGAATTTTTGACGTCAGCGCAGGTCTATAATAGCCGTTTTCACGACGGGCTATCCGGCGAGTGCACCTGATTTGACCAAATCTGCACCTAATCTCTTTTACAGCAAATATCTTTATTTTATGAATTCATTTCGGTGTTTTAATCGATGACATTCTCTGATAATATGACAAAGCAGGCATATAAGCAATTAGTGCAACCCTAGCTGATAGCTACTAAGAGACACACTGAACCTGAAGTTTGACCAAATCTGCACCTGATCTGCACCAGATGTGCTCCAAACGTGTACCAAATAGCCGTCGTGAAAACGGCTAATAGCGATTTTACAACCTTATACTAACATCTTTGTGAAGCAGTGGTGGTATAGGCTTTTTGCGCACAACAACTGCCGCACTTTTAAGATACCAAATTATTGCTTCCAATTAACGTCGTAGGAACAGCTAAAGCTCTGAAAAATAAGTAAAAGTAATTTTTTAATATGTCAAAAACCGTTAGATATTTTTCAATAAAATTTGGTAGATATTCATTTTTGCTCACTATGACCCATACGACACCACTTCTATGCTAATTCATTAACTTTTTGAAGGTGGAAGGGTCCCTTTAATATCTGAAACGCGTTTAGATCCCCTTCTGTCGTTCTTTTTATTATGAGTGAAATAACAAAAATACATGAGTGCACAGTGTGCTGAGCTTTGAAACCTTCAGCAAAGTTGCATACTAAAAAGAAGCGCGGAATATGACCTTTTCTCATTCGATTCCGCTTTTAACCCGGCAGTTGCTGGTGTTGCGCCACGAACCACTTGCAGGGGAAGGGGGCAGTAGCGGCGGAACACCTTCAATTAAAGGGGGGCACCGCCGACTTTTGGTCCCATTCTTTCCATGCAACGCCCATAGGGCGTTAAAATGCCAAAATCAAAGGGGGCACGGTGCCCCGGTGGCCTCCCCGTTCCGCCGCCTATGGAAGGGGCAGGGGGCATTAAACGTTCCCAGCCGATAACTCGAGAACCAATAGGTACAGAGAAGCGCG